CTGAAATACATACACCAATACCTATCCCAGGGTATCCATGGTCTAAGGATATACCGGTTCTACCAAGTATGTACCTATCCCACCTAGTAAACATGCATCCTTCCAAGAGTGGTCGGCTCCAAGAACTCGCAACACTCTCGAAAATCTTATATGTACAGTATCGCGGCCAGTGTAGTTGCGAGCAGCCAACCTGCCTGCGCGCCAGCGTGCCCAAGCAATCTCCCGGGGGCAGAGTTGTGCTTCTTGCCTTGATCGTTTGCTGCATTCGTCTCGGTACTTGCGCTGCCCGAGCCCGCGCTCGTTGGGGTACTTCCGCCGCTCCCCGTCGCGCTGGCGCTATTGGCTAGGAATGCCGGGTCCACGGCTTTCGACGTGTTGACTGGGACCCGGCTACCTTGCACGCACAATCCGTCGGGGTCCGTCCACGTCGCAGAGCTAGCGTATTGCCACACGAGCTCGGGGTTATGTATCATGTTGGGCGTGTAGAAGAAACGGCAATTCGCCGGCTCGTACAGAAATTGCAACGGAGTCTTTGAATCGGATGGGGCGAAGGCGTTCTTGTAGTTGACGCCGCCGGTGGTTTTTATCGGGTCAATAGATCGCTGTATAGCATAGCCTTCGGCGAGAATACCAAGGTCTCCTGCCTGAAGTTTCTGTGCCTCGGTCTTATCCTGGACAAGTGTAAGAGCATTTTGGGCCTCTTGAGAGATCTGGGCGAATACTAAATCTTGGCCTCCCTGTCGAGCATGTATTAGTGCATTGCCCATTGTGAGATCACGATAACATGAAAATGCAACGCAAAGGAAAAATAGGTTGTTTGGTGTTTACCTCGACGCCACCGACGGACTGCATTGCACGAGCCTGTGGCAGCCCACCCACGGACACCGTCTTGACGTCGCGCTGGAAAATCATGAGATACGAGAAAATAGTGCAAGTAGATGCGCAAGTGCCGTCCGTGAGCAGCACGACATTCTCAGGTTTGAAGACAGCCGTCGAGGGGTTTGTTTGATTTCCTGTGCCGGTGACGTTAAAGCCTATATCAGGCTTCTGTCGCATGTATGCCGTAAACTGATCACCTTGGAGAGTGACTGGCGATATTATCTCAGCAGCTGTGCTAAACTTTTCTCCCCCTGGCTTAAGTAGGTTGAGGGGTAACAAGTCCCCCGCCACCAGTGATAAGGATAGAGCGGTCTGCTGCTGCTGGGGAGGAAGGGAGTTCAGTAGGTGAGACATGTTTCCCAGGGCATCTGTAAGATGTATGTCCCTGGCGTTGAATGGGTCCACGCCAGGGAAGAGCTACTATCGAGTCAGCAAAATATCTTAGGTATCCAATTTCTCACCGTGGAACTGTCAACGAACCTGCGCAAATAGCTCGAAACCAGCCTGGACCGAACCGCCTCCATTAGAAACGAGGTCGATGACTAATTTCTGCTTTCCGGCATCCCGGCATCTGCTCAGAAACGTCTTGGTAATATTCTGGAACCTGACCAGACCCTGGCTATTGACCTCGTCGAAACTCGATATGGCTAAGACGGCTGTGTCGTTGAAATCATTGTCAAGGAAAAATCCCATGATTGTGCCCATGTCATCTGTAACTATCTTAGAGTCCGGATAGTCAGTTAACAGAGGCGAGCGCCGAGCCAGTGTCGACGTGGGGCGTGCTGGTGTGGCGACAGAAGCTGTCACTGAGGGGGCGACCTTGGAGGGTGTGCAAAAGGTGTCGTAGTAGTCGTCCCCGGTGATGATGTTCGAAAGACTTATGTTTTGGTTTAGGCGAGCCTGTGATGGCCTGGTTGTGGTCGACCCGTCCTCGTATGTGAGTGTTAGACTAGGACCAAGATAGAACGAGGAAAAGGACAAGGGATTGAACCCAGTTGGGTTGGCGTAGATTGGGAATAACGCATTCCACTGAGCATCAATGTCCTGGCTGTTCCCCAAAATCATATTTAAATCGACCAAGAATTGAGTAGCATTTCGGCCATTGATTTCAGTGATTGCAAGAGGCTCAACGCCGGAATTCGGTTGCAAGTCGGCTACATACAGTCATGTAAGAAAGACATGCTGCGTAAGCCCTGAATATGGCAGCTCAAACTCACCTAGGTGGTACAGGCTTGGTAGAGTCGTTCCATTTGATGATAACGAAACAATATCGTTTGCCAACTCATTCGTAAAAGTGAATGCTTTGAAAACATCACCAAGATAGAAAAAATGCCCATCGTGTGCTGCGCCAAACGTTGCGTGTATCTCAAATTGAAACTCATATTCGCTCTCGAATTTCCCGCCTGCAGCGGATTGGGAGATCTGGTCTAGCTTTCCTAGGATGTCGATCGGAGGAAACCCGTAGGACTGCGGAGGATCCTTCAACCATGGAAGGGTGCTCTGCCATTGTGCGAAGGTCTTAAGGCTTTGCACGAGCTGTTGGGCTGGCTGTGCCCTATTTGGTACTGTTCTTAAGCACTAACGGTAGAATCAGTATATCTCCCATGTATTCAAGGTATAGAGAGCCCAGACGTGTCTCCGGAGTTAAGACTTCAAGCGAGCCTGATCACTGAGAGATCGAGAAAAGGGGAAAGGGGCATCTGAACTCTGGACTTTTACATACCTCATACGCTGAGGACGCCGGGACTATCGGGGGGTAAGTACAATGTTAGTATATCCTCGGTCATCTGAAAGATATGAGGGCCACATATACCTAAAGTATTACCAGCGGCGAAAGAGCTGGACACCCTTCCGCATGCCTGCGGATTTGGTCTCGTTGCCGGCGATGACGGAGCTTGAGGCGCCGGCACCGCTGACACTCCCACAATAGAGGCGATTAAGGCTAACCAGAACATTCTGCCAAAGGCCTGGATAGGTCAACAATATGGAAATGGTATCTTTATCGATGTTAGAAGATAATGACTAATTGCGCGGAGAATGCAGGTGGTTAGGTGACAGAAACGAGCCATCCTAATATATAGGCTGGGCATCTTTAATTGTCTAGAGTCCTAGAGAAATCACCTGGGGCATATTTGAGCATGTGAAGTCCCTTGAAACATGTCGAACTTCAAAGGAAGGTAAGGCATCGGAACGCAAGCATCTAATGCTCTGAACTTCATGATATCGTCTTATCATACATAGGTAGGCTGATAAGTACGGAGTATTTGTCGGAGGATTCTACCAGTTAGATCCCTGCGCCACATGAGGTTTGCGTCCTCTGTAGGCGTTTTATGTTATTCGTAGAAAATGCCTGATTTCAGCAGTAGGAGATACAGGATTGGTTGGACTTCGGCTGGACTTCGCCTCGGCTTAAAGATGTTACATGTTCAGAGTGTGGGGGGGCGCCCCTTGCAGCCCTACATCGTAGGATCAAACAGGGCTGAGCCAAGCAGTTTGGCACCGCGGGAACCGGACAGCTTCTAGGTCCAGCGATATATAGGGGCTAGGTTTTGGAGTTTCGTTTTAAACTATTTTAATATTTCAATCGACGAATTCCAAGCGTTTGGTGAAGTCGAGACCTCCGAAGAAATTTTTAAATAGTCGCCGTATTACCGTTCCGCGACGCCACGTTCTGTAGCTGCAGCTGAAAGCTAGGCGGACAACCCTCGGATCGGGTTTACTCCGACCCACCCCGGGATTGTAGCCCCTGTAACGGTCGATAGCAGCTTGCAAAAGTACCGGATATGAGAATTCTAGAGCGACACTCACCGACAATTCGGATGACTGCTCAACCACATTCAGCTGTACAGATTGCTCAATGAGGCGTCGAGGTGGCTGGCTCCATTCGGCTTCACGCAACAGTCCAGATGAGTCTTAAGGACTTTTTCGCTGTTGAAGACTCGGACTATTGATTCTAGATTCTGCCCAAAATGAAAAAGGTGAGAGTCTCTCAAGCTGAATGAACTGCAGGGGAGCGGGCAGGTCTCTTACCTCTCTACCTAAGGTACTGAATCTTCTGCTTATAAGCTCAGAAGATCCGCAAGAAGAGAACATTCTTGTTTGATCAGAATATATTCACTCCCATTAAGCAAGAATGGAATCCAACCTGCCCACCCTATCGGACCCCGTCCAAGTCGCTTCCGCTATTTCAGTGTTCCCTGCAGGCGCTCAGACCGTCAAGAAAGCCGGTGGCCAGGGAATCAGCGCCGATGGTCTCGGTGCCTGGATCAAACAAACAGGGTACAATGCCAGCAACACAAACGTTGTTCTTGTGGACTGCCGCGCCAAGGAAACTGCAACGAAGGTCAATGAAAAAGTCCTGGTCGACCATGTTGGTACGTACTATCCTTGATGAGAAGTTGGACGAGAGAAGTCTAAGTCGTTTTCAGCTGTGCAATTCATTGGATCCATCCACATGCCTCTCGATGAGCGGGCCGGCGTGAACGATGTTCAAATGATGAAAGACGCGATCGAGAATCATCGGTTCAATAGCCCAACCACCTGGTCCAAACTTATCAGGGCGAAATTGGTGATTTTCTATTGCCAACAAGGACAGTCTCGATCTGTGGGAATTACGGCAAAGTACCTACAGATTCCAAAGATGCGGCAAGATCAGCTGGTAGCCTTTGTTGTGGGAGGTATCGGGACCCTCAAGGAGACGGAGTGTAGTAAGTCATCCATTAGCCCTTGAGAAAGGTCATTTTCTAACGAGTTTTCTAGCTGAGCTCAGGGGTAGACTGCAGGAAGGTGAAGGCGACTTGAGGGAAACCGGACGCGTAGAGGAGGTTGATACTCGGAAGATTCCCGGACCTCATTTAACCCCAAACAAACAGCCGCGTTGAATAGGATCGCATTGTTTTTTGTCTTATTTTTCCTTGATAAAATAAAATGGGCAAATCTGTTTGTATGAACTTCAGTGGACTTTAGTCACCGGAGCTAATATCCCGGGCCAATAAGAGCCGGATTTTCCCAGATACTACTATAGCCTAAAGTGATAAGTGATAAGCAATCTTTACAGCCGTCGAATCCAATCACAACCTCGGAGATTCTGTGGGATATTGGGTCTTGTGCCCTATTTCAACGGCCTGTTGGCCCAATGGTAAGGCGTCTGACTACGAATCAGGAGATTCTGGGTTCGAGCCCCAGGCGGGTCAATTGCTTTTTGATATGGAGTCTATCATTTTTCATTTTGGTGTCAATCAATCAAGAACACGCATATCAGAATGCCACGTTATCTTATGTAACATGTAGGCACTATATTCAGATTGCTGTTGCGCACTGTGTGGCGTAAACGTCCCCGTTAAAGGCCGGCCATAGTCACTTATGATCGAGCGCTTCGCCTGCCCTAGTCTTTACTGTATGCATCGCCGATGCATTGGTATGGATGCCGGAGCACTCCTCAGCAGACATAAGAGGCTGCAGGATTGTTAAATAGTATCTTCGTAGTTTCTCTGTCAGCAGCTTTTAGCTATATCAAATATGATCTCAGACGCTTCGGAGCTGTCGAAAGGGTCGGTGCAGACATTAAGTGATGATCAAGTGTAATGGGTTGAGATGTGCCTAGGTTCTTCATGCATGTACCTGCATAGCATGTATCTGTGATGTTTGCCATCATTCTATATTCGTTCACCTGAGGAGGTGTTAGAGTTATCTTCTGGTTTAAGTATTTGAGACTACCTATCCAAAGACTGTGAGGGGTATTTAGACCGATCTGACTCAAACGCATTGCTAAAAAGTGGCGAATTTGCTCAAGATCACTCGCTTGAGTTGTGGAAATACTTAAAGTGGGCATCCTCAAATGATCATTATTGTGAGGAGCTTGAGTTCAAGGCATAGGTTTCTAAAGAGTAATCACGGGGTTCATGGTGGAGGCCAATGAATAGGCAGGGTCATGCCGAAGGCAGAGGAACATAGAAGGTTGGCAGTCCTCGACAGGAAATAGATTGCTGGTAGCAAACTTCTATATGAACTTGCCTACAGAGGGATATCACAAGAGACGTGTCAATGCAATAGTTGTCTTCGAATAGCTATGATTGTATGCTAATACGTGGTGAACTAGTAATATTGCTAGTCCAGAGCGACAGGCGCCCGTACTTCCTCATAGTTGAGATGAAGTATAATTCATAAAAGTCCTTGGTTCCATCCCATCCATCCCATCGTCTCAAGTCTGGACATCGTCAAACACATAAATAACTATATACAAGTAAACACATCTGCATAGAGACCAGTTGTTCGATCTCGAACACAATGCATCGACTCCCTCGCCCGCTCACTGCTTGCTCATCTTATCGATGCCGTACTTGATCTGTCGGTCGACGTTCTTGGCCACCTTCTCCAAGGGGAGGCGGTCGTCAATTTTTCTGACGGTTCTCCCGACGCGGGGCTCTACTCGCTGGGCGATAATGCGGGCGGGAGGGGCGAAGTACGAGATGTTGCGCTCCCAGCGGGGTGCCCATCGCGCGGTCTGCGTTGCTAGGCGTTCCTCGGCGCCGGGGAGCATGAAGTAGAATGGTGCGAAGCCGGCGACGCCTGCCACGCCGAATGTGGCGATTTCCGTTGTACGGGCCTTGGGGATGCGGACGGGCATTTTGAATTGTTGTTATGGTAATGGTGAGTGTGGTGGTTTGGGGTAGAGTAGATGTGGTCAGGTCTGGATGATGTGGCCTCTGTTAGTTGGAGGGAAAGGGGAGTTGAGATCTGGAACGGGATATTCATACCAGATCAGACCAGATAGTCCCTAGTTATATATTGTGTTGGAGTAGATAGATGTACCTATCTGCCACTGCACTCAAGTCGATTTCAGGTTGATAGTGACACTCTTGATGGAAAGTGCAGACGAGAACGGTTTGTGTGTAACTCTCCGAACTGGTTTGTAAACAGGTGTGTAAAGAAGGGGAATCACTGGGATTTATTGAAAAGGTGAGGGCAGCAGACTGATACCGCCAAACTGCCGTCCTTTGTCTCGCCCAACCTACCAAACTTGACCAACCTGACCTACCCAGCTAGGCTGCGTCGAGTCTGGGGAAGACGCAGAGGAGAAGCGGGGTTAACCAATAACAACATGTCATGGCATTGCGTCGACCTTCCAAGGGCCAATCATGCCGGGGTATACCTCAGGACAAGGTTAGTTGTGCTTTCGCTAACCCAAAAGGACGGCATGCCACAGGCCAGATCCTACAGGGTGACACCGCCCAAATTACTACAGCTGCTACCCATATATAGTACGAGTCAGTATCGCATAAGCCTATTACGTCCTCGGTCGCATGAGCACTACTCTGTATGTTGTGGTAGAATATTGCGTTTCATGCACGGTGAAGTTAGGGAGGTGTAAAAGAGTTTGGGGTATGATAGGTACGATACCACACCACTGACAAAGAAGGCAACACGCAACTCTATCGATCGGCCAGAGTGATGTCACTCGGCTACAAGTGCATGAGTTCAGCCCTGGCCTAAACCACAATGATCTCGATATCAACTTACAATCTAATATATTTATTCCATTGCATTTTCTCCAAAACGATCGCGATATTTGCAGTCATTGTCTCACGTGCGATGTGTATGGTGAGGTGGGCTCAGGGGTCTCTCCCCAGTACGCTAACCCCGCTTCCCCAGACTCTCGGTGGGCCAGTGTCAGCTACAATCCACTTTAGTGGGCTGAGTGGCTACTAGGGTCTCCCTGACACGAATCTAACGTGTGAATTCTCACTGTATCGATTTGTCTCGTTCTCTGCAGGCTGGCCGATCACTCTGCATCTTACATATTAACGAGTACTTCGTACGCAGCTTTAGTAATGCCATTCTTCATTGGAAGTTGACTGGATCCTCTATAACGGCATCTGACAAAGTAACTCTTCAGCGGGACAATTTTAAAGTTTCGTTCTAGGCATTGCATCTTGGAGACTTCTACTGCTATCACATATATTGCGCAACGTCGCGTTTTTCGACATCAATGATTATTGAATTGATTCATTAGCTACTAATGTACCTACCACTCGAGAACTACGACACAACCGCAAAATTACTGCTTAACCAGGGCAACTTTTTAAGTCACTTAAAATCTCGGCGTGACGAGATAAAATCTCAACGTCTGATGCCAATTTTCCGTTCCCTCTCGAATCGCGTGGTAGACCCGGAACCATGCCAACGCCTGAGGCTCTCGGAGCGGGGCGGGAAGATAATCGCTCAACAGCTCGCAGCTATTCACATACTCCCACCAACGTGGGTAGTACCCGGCGAGCTCCCAGTCGATCAGACCGACAAACATTCCTTGCTTTACAATGATATTGCCCTCGTGCACGTCTGAGTGGCTGAAGGTAAATGGCATGGCTGACGGCATCATGGACATGAAATTGTTGAGAGTGGAGTTATCCAAGCGAGAAGCAATTGCGCGTGACAAGTTGTTACGCAACTCGTCGTCGGTCGTACAAACCGAGTAATTGTTCCCTGCAAGGTTCGAGTCCAGCGGCTTGAATAAACGACGGTCAACGACCGGTCGTCCGTCAAGCATATGCGTCTGGGGAGAATGGTAACGTCTTAGCTGCAGAAGATATTGACCTACCTGATGACCGATGCGCTGTAAGTCTTGTTGCGACAACCTTGGTAGGGCTTCTTCAAGTGGCACACCGTCGAGACGCGCCTGCATGATGAAAAAGCGGTCACCTTCTCTCCAAGAGTGGGCGATTGAAGGGAACGGGTAACCAGATATTCGATCGGCAGCAAAGTCAGAGTTGCGGACCTCAATCTCGCTGCCTGGGTAGTACACTCGGTCCTTCAATACATACCTGGAGCCAAGGGCCCATACCTGCCGACTACCAGCCTTCTTGACAAGTTGTTGACAGCTAGGTGGGGGATCAGGCCCTTGGGGCTGTGTGGCCATGGTCTTATCCGGGAAACGGGCCGGCATTGTAAATGTGGTAAAAAAAGATGGGTTTTGAAGAATTTTTGATGAAAGGATAATTTCTTTCACTGTTGAAGAGATTGTCCGAATGTATTTGCTTTGTTGCCTTTGCAAATACATTCGGGCGTCAGGTACTGGCCACCTTTTTGTATCCGAAGAATAAGGCGAACAGCCGCTGAGTTTATGAACAATGTGCATCGAGGTGGAAAAGAGAGTGATGGGTGAACCGGAACAGAAGTCGATGTTGAGAACAACCGCGCTGCATTGAATTCGCATGGTTACAGCGCCACTGACCTGAAGCCAGCAAGTCGGGCAGAAATGAGCAAACTGTCAACATACCTAGGTTACGTATCAGTGTGATCCAGAAAGATAACTCTTCGTTCCTGGGAGAGAATGACTCTGAAGAGAATGAGTTCAATTGCGTCATCATGGAATATCCTTATCCATCTGGAATTTATTTCCTGTGAACCGGGACTTGTTGTAGTTTGCTTGTCCCGATCTGCTTACTGGCGGAATAAAAAGAAATAGAGAGCTTGCACTCTGGATACCCCTGATCGGTCTTGGCTCCATCACCTTCTGTTCTCGGCTGATATGCCGTGCAGGCGAATGCATCGTTATCAGCGGCTTTGCTTGCAATTTGCCTGCGATCGCCGAATGCATATATCCATGCCAGGTCGCACCGCAAGGAAAATGTCTTGCCTAAGGTCGGGAGGTCATTTATTGCTCTTTGAATGCATGACTTCTCGTGGTCCGCATTTTGGCTTGAGGCTTGAGCAACAATTGAAGACTCGATGTCGCTCCCGACACTGATGAGTAACGGCGCCCACGCCCTTGTCACGAAATGGGGCCTGCTGATCACTGCTCTTCTCGTGGGGCTGTCTTGGGCGCACCCCGACGCGAGATATCCCCCGCGGAGAGCTGTTGAAAAGGGCGTAAAAGTGTCGCGCAGTCCTTTTGCTAGATTCAACGATCTCGTTGCCGGAGAACCGAATGCGACATCGACTAGTACCGCACCCGCTGCTACGAGCACGCCGTTAGAATGCTTCCAGGTTGCAGAGCCGGTATTCTTGCCTCAAGGCCCCGCGTTTCGCGACGGGACTTACGCGCCGGCAGCGAACCAGGACTCAATTGGGGATGACGCCGGATATACGGTGGTTTTGATGGAGCATTCTTTCGCCAACAGCTACGGCGCCCCCTTCGTTGGTATGTTTGCACTTGTACGTACCTCTAAAAGCTTGTTTAAAGCCCTGACTTTGC